AAAGTTCTTCTACTACTTTGTTAGTTGCAGCTTTATTACCAAATCTTAATCTTTCTTCTGATTTCCTGTTTTACCATAAATCACATCACATATAGAATTAGAAGGCAAAACAAAGATTGGTTTTACAAACTTTGACAGAATGTCTTCATAGAAAGAAACAGATCATAAATCAATGATTGCAAAACATTAATTAATGAAATTCTGTTTTTCAGAACTGTGTTAAGAACATTGAATGATAACAAAATGAAATGTACAAAACAAAAAGCAAAAAGCTTTGTTAAGGTGACAAAAACATAAATACTCTTTCTTCACAAGATAAATTTACAGTAACCATAAAACTTTTCCCTTGTTGAGCAATTTTTTTTTTTAAATTTTGAGAAAAATTTGTATTAGCTTTATGCTTATAACTTGTAGCATTATTTTGAGAACTTTAAATTGTTCACTGGCACAGAAATTACTTTTTCTCATACCTATTTTTAATAGTGGAAGTAGTAAATGCATCTCCATTTACTTTAGGTATTTTATAACTTTCAACACAGCTTTTTATTTTAACTCCAGAAGCATTTACTTCTTACTTAAAAAAAAAATGTCAGAATTGCATTCCATTGGTCGAGGATTCTAGATAAACATTTCTTTAGAGACAGCCAGCAGTTACATACATGTTTCACAATTTTTCTTATTTCAGCATTATGCAGCTGCTGGAACTGTTTCAATCTTCCTTTTACAACTCCTTTCAAGATAATGTGTTCAGATACCTTTCAAGATAATCAACAATGTGTTCATCTACACTTAATGGTAAAGAAGGTGCCAATTTTTCATTTAAGAGGTACAGGTGCACCTCATAATTTTCAAATCTGAATTTTCCTTCTTTTAAGATGCCTGCAACACCTGTCTTCAAGTCTACTATTAATGGTGCATTACCAGCACCAAGTGCTACGCAATTATCCAGAGGAATTGCATTTTATTTTAAAGTTTTAATAATTAGCTGTGATATATTAAGTGGGGACAAAAGTAAACTACACTTAACTTCTGAAGACACTGGATTAAAAAAAGAAACCACAATTGGGTACATTTTTGAACTGGTAGTACTGCTTCCATCTGTAAAGAGGCAAAATGGAACTGTTTTAATGCATTCAGTAACTGAAGATTTATTTTTCATAACCATTTCTTTAACAATTGTGGTCGTTTTGGTCATTGCACTTAAGTATTTATTTCTTAGTGGTTTCGCTATCCGGAAACATCTTTCTAAATAAAGCTGCAGCATGATCTGATGCATTCAATGGCAGGTTGTGCTCCACTAAAAAGGCACAGAACACGCATTCACACATTCTGCATTATTAACTTTGTAGTCCTTTGTTTCCACAGAAAATTTGATTTTTCTTTTTTCTCCCCAACAGAACTTATGTTGTCCTTATGTTTTTGTGTACACATATGTTTGAGAACATCATCTCTTTCCCCGTGCGAAATCGAAAAATCACAATGATAAACGGTCCACATCATATATGTATTCCATTTCCTAGAGGAAATAATAGAAGGAAAATCACCTGTGAACAATTTTTGAAAACTACTTGAGTATTTTACCTCTTCTGCAGACATAAACAAAAGATTGTAATTTCTTAAACTATTTTGCAAAAGCATGCGCACTACACCACTTAGTGGTAAGATGAACGAAGTAACAACCTTGATCTTGCTTTGTGTTCACTGGGCTAATATATGCCAGATGACATGCAGTGGCGCTTCGATGCTTATTGGAGAACCAGAACGCAATGTTTTCAGACACATATGTTCTCATTCACAAAGCAGAAGTGTGCTGTAATTTCTCACTGATGAAACAACTTTGGTCTTATTTTATATGTAATATAAAGAAAAACCAAGTGCTCTCAGACCTCCCAAATTACTTTTTTTGGTGCAAATAACAAAGTACTATGCTAAGCTACATAATATGAGAAATTTTAAGAACAAGAGAAAGTCGGGAGAAATATCTTATAAATTGGGTTATGGGAAAACGGTCGGAAATTGGGAGTCTTCTTCATAAATTGGGAGAGTTGGCAACTCTGTAATGAAATGACAGATGCTGCACAACTCAATAACTGATAGTTAGTTTCACTCACAGAATTACACTCCTCAATGTATATCACAAAATTGTGAAATAACTGATAGTTTCGCTTAGAGTTACATTCTCAATGCATATCTCAGAATTGTGAATAACTAAAAAACATCTCTATGAAAAAAATTTTGAACAAAGAGTAGACTGCTCAATAACCTACCAGATTATCCCACAGATAAAGCAGTTGTGTTTTTCAATATTATATATATATATATATATATAATATATAGAGAGAGAGAGAGAGAGAGAGAGAGAGAGAAGGGAGGGAATTATAAAATCTGACAAATGAGTTGTCTTTGTTCCCACAATCCAGATACTTTACTACAGTCTAGATACACAACTGGGAAATTCTATTCTTTTGTCTACTGCTCTGGTGGTAAAAGAACATGGTTCTTTACCATAAGAATAAAAATAAAACATAATAAACAAAATGATACACATCAAAAGATTAACACAAAGTAACTATAGTTAACCTGAATTTTATAAGATAAAAATTTCTTGTGCAATGACAACATTTACATATCACTAAATGTGCTTAGATGGTTTTCAGAAAAGAACTTGTTATGGTCAACTAATACATGACAAAATAAATACAGTGCAACTCATTTACAGTATATAATTGCTCTTTCAGTGATATTTGTAAGCTACACTTTGAAAATTTCATGCCAGTGTACATGCAATGTACATTTACTTAATTTAATGCTTTGGAGGTTATCAGAATCAGTAGTGATTGCTTTCCTTTTACATGCAATATTCCATTACAGTGGCATTCAAAAATGCAACCCGTTTTTCGCCCAGTTTTTTATTTTTAAATGGTTCTCATTTTCAGCAACACTGCAAAATGTAAAACAGATCTCTTGGAAGATGAAGATTTATAAATTATTAGCAGAACTTTAACTATTGAAATGATTTTAAGAATTTTAGCAATTATACTTTGATGCAATTGAAGAGTAACCATACAAAATAAATTTCTATCACATATAATATTAAACATTATGAAACATTAGGGAATATTTCTTTAAAATTTTATTTCTTTCATAGTTTTGAAATTAAATTTTTAACAAATTAACTGAGACATTAGATGATTGTTAAGCTGAAGTTAAACATACAGGAATCACAACTCTAGGAATCAACTTCATTCTCCATGAACACTTTGTACTTCATTTTTCTTATTTGTCATTCTTCATTTTCCATGAGAAAAGTACATAAAATTATTAATAATAAAGCACTTGCATTATTAATACTGAGGGCTAAATAACTCCATTTTGATACAGATTGTTGACGAGTATATGGATGCCATTTATTCTTGGATAAATTGCATTTTCAGTTGTACAGTGATGCATTTCAGAAAAAATTTAATTTAGATGTTCATGATGAAATAAACAAAAATACTCTATCTTCATTACTCATACTTGCACATCAATAGCACTTGTGAATGTGATTCAAATTTGCATAAGCAAACTTTCATTAATTATACATGATTACTTGCACTTTCAATATTATTCTTTCTCTTAGTTTAACTTCTTCATCTAACAAATACCCACATTTTCAATAGAATAATTAAATGTTATCATGATCACTTTTTAAAATTCCATCTTCATCTGAATGTAATCATAAATAAAGAGAAATACTATTAAACAGTTTCTTTTTGGCAACATTTCATTAACAATATTTTTGCTGAAATGCAAAATAAGTAATTCAAGGATGCATGATGAAATCCCCCATCATTCAGGAAATTATGCAATACCTATGATGCCATCTGTTTTCAAATAGTAAAATCAAATAGTTTCTCCAATTCATACTCATCTATAAATTGAAGAATAATTTTTTCCAAAGATGACATCAGTTTGGTTGTGTGCATTAAGGAAAAATTTGGGCAGAATGCATAACATAAGAGGAACTTGTAACCATTTTAGCATACAATCTTTTTGTAAGCTGAGCTCACTCATGACGACCAAAGGATTAATTTAATATCTTCTTAAAAAATAAGTATTATTTCTTCAAATTTTTCATCGCAATGTAACAGTCTTAATTTTACTTGAATACTTTACTGTTATTTAACTAGAATGAAGAATAAACAATTTGGATAACTGGAGTTCTGGATTTCCACATAGTAGAAATTCTAGCCTATATATATATATATATGTATCTTTTCACATCCTTATTTTCATGTCATATTTTTGACAGAAATAATTTTAAGTACTTTTCTCATGGAAAATGAAGAATGACAAATAAGAAAAATGAAGTACAAAGTGTTCATGGCGAATGAAGTTGATTCCTAGAGTTGTGATTCCTGTATGTTTAACTTCAGCTTAACAATCATCTAATGTCTCAGTTAATGAACCACTCAAAAATAAAATTCAAAGGTTACATAAAGTGAATGGCTAAAAATAACAATTTGATACCCTAAGGTTAAATAAATGACTGAGTATAAAAATGATGTGTGAATGAATCAGGGAGATAATTTCCTGCGTAATAACTATGTATAGTTTCAAGAACATCAGAATTTTAAATGCTACAGTTGACTTTATTTCAGATTTAATTTGGGATAATGCTCATGAACGTGAAAAGTTGAGCAGTGCATCAAGTGAAGAAAATTATGAATTAATTTCTATTTAATACAGCCAACAGTTATTATCTCATATAATGCTTTTGTTCAATTCTTATAAAAACTAGCAGACAGTTATCAGATCAATTTTTTATTCATTCTTTTGGCTACAGTAGATATATTAATTTTCCTTATTAGATCATGGTATTTTTTCTAATCTTGTAGGCAGGTATATCATAAGACATATATATCTAAAGGCTAGAATGAAAGAAGTGAGGCTAATAGTTAAAGAGGGAAACAAGAATTCTTGTGTTTCATGAGCAAAATTCAAAAAAAGGTAACTACCTTAAGTTTAGCACTATCAAGATTAAGTAAGTGAATGCCAGTTATGTCATGTGCCTGGAAACTTTTAATATACTGCTCCATTCCCAGAACCATCAGCCACTGGCCCACTTGCGTTGCTGTCCACAAGTGTACAGGTCGACCTTGCCAATTGTTAGGACGGCGATCCCGACTGCTGCTTCGCTCCTGCAGATGAGATAGTAAAACTAGAATTAATAATTCAGATAGCTACAGAACATAATTCTACACATATTATTTAAAATGTTCAACATTTTGCCATATTTTATTTATTAATTCAGATGGGCAAAGGCTGCTAGATAAAATTAAAATGAATGATGACTCAAATATTACACAACAATTATTAGGATATTTTTACTTCTTTTATTGCAAAAGATTTTTCTTGTGATATACATTTAATATTTCTGACAAACTTGTCAAATTTTACAATATGTTTTCACTAAATAACTTGAAAAATTTCCCTCTGAAATTATAATGCAAAATGTTAGTGTTTTTACATGGCAACAATCATTTCACTGATACCTATAAACCAAATAAACCTCTTTTAAAAAATATATATATTCATCCTGTGGTCAAAATGAAAATTACTATATGCTTCATTTACATAAAATTCATTTTTGATAAAATACACAAAATATTTCACTTAAGTTAAATTTAGTAAACAGTAACGTATTTTTCTATTAATGTGGACATGTAAAGCTGCTTTAAAAAATACTGATTAATAAGCTGTTAAATAGACTCACTGATAGATTGATACCTTCAATAGTACTTGAAATTGTGCTTGTTATGTATTGAATGAAAATGTCAATAGGCAACTCTGCACAATTCTTACTATTCTTGTTTTTGTAATAATAAACATATTATTCTCCATATAATCATGTACATTTCTTTATACCACATACTAAAGATATTTGCGAATTACTATTCAAATGATTAGCTATTTGTCTGCATCCAGTTTGCTTTAATGAGCTTAATACACTTATTCATCCTTATCTCACTTCACTAATCACTAAAATGCCTCATAATCCCAGACATCTTTTACAATGTCTGAACTCTCATGTCAACATATGCAATCAAAAATGTAATAAAAACAAAATACAGTAGTACAAAATTAATAATTCAACAGATAGCTGATAAATAATTACCAAGCTTACTTTCATAAGCAAAATGAAACTAACTTAGCACATTTAAAATTGTAAGCAGAAGTGACTGCAAGTTATAAAAATAAGCAGTCATGAAGCTGAACAACAACGATCAATAACAGAAATATAAATTATTCTGAAAATGAAGATTTATGAATTTAATTGCTAAAGATAAGCAGGTATCAATTACTGAGTGGCTGAAATGTGCTGGAAAAACATAAGCTACTATAAATTCCAATTCAGAAGTCAAACAACAAAAATCAGTGTTATATTTACAAAATTTTTCACAGGACTAGTTTCGATGGTTTTACCGAACCACCATCCTCAGCTGCAAAACCGCAAATGAACAAGATAGGAAATAATGATTAGATAAGATAAGAAAGCCTGGACAAGAATAAGCAAGTGGTGCCATCTGTTGGTGAAACCAAAACTAAAACATAATTTCTTTAAAGGCCGAAGGCAAATTTGGATTGAAATTAGGATCGTTAACTAGAACAGAAAGATTTTTATGAATGTGAAATGCTTCTAGAAAATCCAGTTCTCCAATGGAAGATGTTTTTGAATAATTTTTTTTGGCAGCAGAAAAATTGAAAGTGTGCTTTTCGGATCAACAATGTTGAGCAACAGAAGACTTCTGGGTTTCCTTTTTTCTAACATATGCCTCATGTTCCCCGACGCGAAATTTTAAGGCTCTCTTAGTTTGGCCAATGTAAGTTAAACCACACTGGCAAGGAATCCTATAAATACCCCCAGGAATTCATATCCGGAATGGGGTCCTTAAGTATGGAACTCGGAATTTTATTGATGGGAGAATAAACAACCCGAAAGTTAAATTTCTGCAAAATATGTGCAACTTTGTAGCTAATTGATGGAAAGAAGGGAATGACAACAGAATTTTTATAATCTCCTAAAACAAGAGTGCTGAGATGAGAATTTTTTAACTGCTTGATTAATAATGTTGGGTGAAAAGACCCTGTCAATAGCTATTGCTTTTAAATAATTTAGTTCTTCATCAAAGGCTAATTTGGAGGAGCAAACTTGAAGATCACGGAAAACATAGGAATAAAATGACGCTAACTTTTGTTTAGTTGGATGACATGATTTAAAGTGTGGTGGAAGGCAAACCAATGAAGGTTTACGGTAAACCGTAGTACTGAAGTTGGATGTGTTACGTGTGACCAGAATGTCGAGAAACGGAAGAGAATTGCAAGTCTCAAGTTCAAAAGTGAACTGAATAGCAGGATCAATAGAATTCATTGTTGAAAGAACTTTATTTAAATCATCTTTATTGCTTTCAAACAGGGTAAAAGTATCATCTACGTAGCGGAACCATGCCGGGAATTTTAAGTTTCAAACAATTTTGATTCATAATAATGCAAGTAGATATCAGCCAGGATGGGACTGAGGGGGCTTCCCATGGCTAATCCCTCAGTTTGCTTGTAATATTTATTTTGGAAAACAAAATGTGTTATATATTATAAAAGAGGAGATTATAAAAATTCTGTTGTCATTCCCTTCTTTCCATCAATTAGCTACAAAGTTGCACATATTTTGCAGAAATTTAACTTTCGGGTTGTTTATTCTCCCATCAATAAAATTCCGAGTTCCATACTCAAGGACCCCATTCCGGATATGAATTCCTGGGGTATTTATAGGATTCCTTGCCAGTGTGGTTTAATTTACATTGGCCAAACTAAGCGAGCCTTAAAATTTCACATCAGGGAACATGAGGCATATGTTAGAAAAAAGGAAACCCAGAAGTCTTCTGTTGCTCAACATTGTTGGTCCGAAAATCACACTTTGAATTTTTCTGCTGCCAAAATTATTCAAAAAACATCTTCCATTGGAGAACTGGATTTTCTAGAGGCATTTCACATTCATAAAAATCTTTCTGTTCTAGTTAACGATCTTAATTTCAATCCAAATTTGCCTTCGGCCTTTAAAGAAATTATGTTTTAGTTTTGGTTTCACCAACAGATGGCACCACTTGCTTATTCTTGTCCAGGCTTTCTTATCTTATCTAATCATTATTTCCTATCTTGTTCATTTGCAGTTTTGCAGCTGAGGATGGTGCTTCGGTAAAACCATCGAAACTAGTCCTGTGAAATATAACGCTGATTTTTGTTGTTTGACTTCTGAATTGGTATTTATTCGGCATGTTATTGTGTCTTAACTACTATAAATTACTCATGGAAAATAACCAAATCATACACATAAGAAATAAAAGAACAGGTACAGAAATGCAGTATTATATTATGTATTCAATAAAGGAGAAAATGTCTCGTGCAAACATAGAAGCAAGCAGAAATATACGTATATAAATAATTATTTTAAAAGTTATAAAATAAGCACTAAAAATTATAATAAAATCAAGCACTTAAGTTTCTAAAGATTGAATTTATATAAATTTATGTGAAAATTATACTTATCTTGGAATGTTTGAGAAACATTTCAACTGTAAATTTAGATGAAGTTAACAGTAAGCAACTACTAAAGCATTTTAAAGCAGTTAAAGATTTCTTTAAAAGGAGTAAAAAATAAAAATTAAACCTATGAAAATCTGCAGTTGAAAAATGCATATTAATTATTCACAGTTTAATGCTTCAAATAGACTTGTCAGAGGATAATTATTTAAAAGATTAAACATGAACAATTAACCTTTAAAAGAGAGTAAAGTTTGGGAAGGTTTCACTTAAAAAGATGTAAAAGCTCAAGAAATGAAAAAGTGCAGTTCACAGTAGAAAATCCAAATGAATAATGGAAGAAACAATTTCTGTTCTAAAATTATTTAAAAAAGTGACTTTACTTCTTAACAACTTGAATATCAAATGTTTCTACATTTAAATTATGTGAGATTTTAAAAGAAAAAAAGAGCATTAGAGATACATTCAGCACACTAAAAAATCTTATTCAATTACGGAATTCCACACAGTTTATAGCTTTAAAAATTTAACTACAGTTTTAAAATCAAAAATGCCTCTTTGAAATGCATAATAAATTTAATCCCACATTTTCATGCATAAAATTTTAAATCAACAGAAGTTTCAGATTTTGAAACAGTTGTTTGAAATATATAACATTCAAACCATTGCTTACATTTTAACATAAGTACCAAGCTGGCAATTTTTGATCGCTCAATAATATAACTGGAAATGCATAAATCACCATTTAACGTTTTTTGTTCAGCTGTTACAGATTTGCATATTACTATCATCATCATCATTTAAATGATTAGCTATTAATTATAATTAACAATATGGTGAACTTTTACATTATACATTGCATGTCTTCTGGATATATATTTAGTTCTCTTTTCCTCCATAAAAAATAGTTACATTGCTAGCAGATATAATTTCGAAAAGAAAATTAGCCATGAATAGGTTTTTTGGTTTAGTGAAGTTAAGTAATTTTAGGGTTACTGTGTTATCAAAAATAACCCAAAAATTACCGGTACAGAACTATGCATTTATTTACAACTTTCATTCATCTATGTTAATTTTGCCTTACATTTTTAGATTTTTTTTATTCCTATTTTGCATTTCAAAAAATAAAAACCCTCCTGATTTAATTAATTTTAATACTTATATATATCACAATTTCACATGAGATAGTTCATAATTTTTTATGTTGAAATATCATTTTATGAAAACTATCTAAAAAAATGGGGGGGGGGTAGAAAAAAAGCTTTGAGATTTGTAACTCTAAAGATTGCATATAAATTAGTTTTTATTCTTCAATACACATTATCTAAATCAAAACTGAAATTTAATGAATGACTTGCAGTTTTCCCATGTGTATCATTTCTTGCATTACCACACAATACAATTCAATATGGAATAAATCTAATTTGCTTATTTGATGAACATTTTATTTTAAACATTTAATACCTTGTACTTTTAAATTTAATGCTCATTGCTCTATTATTAAGAATTAGAAAACAGAAACTACACTTAACAATTTACAATTGCAAAGATGTTTCTAAACAAACGTTTTCAAACATAAATATCAAGTCTAATAAAACATCATCAGAGTTTGGAAGCTATTACAGCAATAAAACCAGGCTATTAACAACTTACAGGAACTCTAGGTGGCAAAATGGATGGTTTTTGAGATTTTATGTTGGCAGGAAAAGCTGATTTTGTTTCCTTCATCAAATCTTCTCGAGATCCATCTAAATAGTTGAATACAAATAAAGAAAATGCAGATAAAAAAGCATCCTTATCAATGAAAACAGTATGCATATTTACTAAGAATATTTACAATATTTACCCAAAATTACGCAGTTTTATTTCAAGATGGAAAATAATTTAAACAGAATGTCTTCATTAAACTTAATAATATGATGAAAAAATGGAAGTGTAAAATTATTGTGATCAGCATTGTTATATCATTAACAGTTTTAAAAAAGTAAAATCACTTACACATGAGTGAATAAATACGTCATATAATTTAATAGATATGAGAAAAATTAACAGTAGCAATACTGATGACAGAACAAAAATAAAAGATAAAATCATTCTCACAGCGTACCAATAAATCCACAAATGTGTACATTATTATTTAAATATAAGTTTTCAGTAGTTGGTTTAACAGATACATTTTATAAAAATTCTTTTATTTTCATAGAATGGTCAGGAAAAAACTTTTGCCCTGCCAGTGGCAGAAATAAATTGCAACTATTTAAAACCATCAGAAAATAGCAAAATGTGTAATGTGCAGGCATGTTTCTCTTAGAAAGTCCTCCACAAAAGCATTCTTCCTCTTGGGCATATAGCCCTAGTGTGTTTTGCCATTATAAAATAAACCAAAGAAAACCTAAGTGATAACTCCACAACAGTATAGCAGCAACCATGATAAAATATTTACCTATCAAGACGTAGACTAATCTTTTCACTTTAAACTGATTACTGGTCACTTGCTACAAAATGATTAATTATGTCTTAAGAACATGAAATAATTCTACCTTCTTCACATAAAGGAATAAAAAAATTAAATGTTTACTAAAGGATATAAATAGACCTAAATGTGAAAGCTCATTTAACCTTCTCTAAGCTGACCATTTACGGTTCGAAGTGATTTTCTCTTCTATGAAGCTGGTCATCTTAGAAAGAGGAGATTAAATGCCAAAGTTTCAAAACTACACTGGTCACTTACAGAGGTGTTCATCTTAAGAAAATGGTTCTCCATATGTTATAACAGTTCATTCAATAACTAAAAAATGTTTGAATAAAATATATCCTCAAAATTAAATAACACTTTTAAAGTGCTTATAAGAAATCTCTAAACATAAAGTTAAGCACAAAGAATCTTCTACAAAGCAACCACTCAAGATACCATATCTTTCCAATCTTGCATGGATGTGGTCATCTTGCATAATGAATAAAACCTATATTTATTTCTGTTCTCAGAAGCATTCGTTGTCTTAAGGAGAAAATTCAACTTTTTTCCCACCAGGGTTCACTTAAATTATATATTATTTCTTAAAAAATGAATAAATAAATAAAAAATTTTTAAAAAAATAGGTTTAAATTTTCTTGGTATAATTTTTACCAATGACTGATGTAAAAAAACTAGTTTTTGCTAATATTCCGCTGCTGAACTGGCACCAATGCCTGAGCGGTAGAGTCGTTGAACACTGATATTTGGACATGGCGAACACGCTGGTTGCATGAGATTCTCGGGATTTTCCTAGTGTTTAATGTGGATATGAACCAGTTCCTCAGCAAGTACTCCACAAAGGCATTTCTTTCTTTAAGCAGATAATCCTAATGTGTTTTTGTATAATTCAATAAATCCAAACTCCCTGCTGAAATATTATGTAGCTGATTTTCATCATAACTAACAAACTGACATCCAAATATTGACTACACGCTATACATGAAAATGTTAACGGCACTCTAAGAATAAATGGAACCAAAACATATAATTTTCAATAAAAGTATATGAGATTAATAAATATGAAAGTAAATAATTTCACAATTAATTAAACAATTTTTACAGATGTAATCTCATACAGTTACTGATCTTCCTTTTTCTGAACTTTTTTAGAATATATTTTCCACGAAAAATTATCAGTAAAACTTTATAAAGAAGATTAATTTATTTATGATCTTTATTAGTTAACTATGTAAGTTTAAAACTTCTATTAAGTGCTGTGATTTGCATTAATTTTTTTACTCATTTTCAATTTTTTAATGCTCAGGTTTCCTTCTCACTTTTTCAGCAAAAATATATTAGTTAATTGAAAACTATAAATATATTCCTCTTTTCTTTTTCACTCAAAAATCATTATGCGAGTACGCATTTACAACTTTTAAAGCCTGAATCATTGCATGACGTCATCACAGACATGATCTGCAATGTTATTGTCATGCTACGATTTGTAGGAGCTTTATTTTGGTACCATGATATTTTCGATGATGATGTTTTTAAACTGCAAAATTTTTTAACTGTTTTATTTTTGATGATGATATTTCGTACTACAATGCTTTCTCTTGGCTTTCTTTTGTCCCAGGATGTTTTGTACCATGACGTTTTCCCCTTGTATTGTTTTCTCTGCGTTTTGGTATTTATCAATAATTTTGATATTTTTTTGTTTAATTTATAAAATACATTAGAAAATAATTTAAATCTAAATAAATGCATGTAAGTATTTTACAAGTAATGAAAAGAAAGGGGGAATGATTAAGCAATGGTAAGATGGGTGCATAATGTTGAGAACCACTCTATATCACGTCTTCTTGCTATAAAATTACTGTTCCTTTGTTTAAATATTTTACTTAATTGTTTAACTTTATTATTAATTTATTTTCATTTAATTCATAAATTTTAACTCATTACTTACTTAATTATTATTGATTTTATTTATTAATATTTCTATCCCTTTATGTTTTTAATTACCCATTATTCATTACTGTATCCCTTATTTTATTTATATATTTTTGTTCCTGTTCCAAATGGCATTCTGTAGAGCTCTAGAACTTCCATTTTTAGAAATCAAGCCCTGGTTTGAGATCAGGAGAAGCATACAGACAGGGTTCATAGCCACATTTAAAAAATAAGCACCTATAAGCACTTTTCAACACATTTTAAGAAAAAAATAAGCACCTGTCTAATTACATTATACACAACTGCATAACCTTAAAAATTAGACTTGTAATTTAAAATAATGAGAAGTGCAGTATTTATTAAGAGAGAATAAGAATTACCTCAACCATGGAAAATAATTACTTTTTTTTTTTTTTTAAATTTTAAATAACAGTTCAATTTACAGAACTAGTTTACAATGAGAGGAAAAACAACTATGCAGAACTAAACTATATTACAAGATTTAATGATGAAATTTCAGTTCAAAATAGAGAAAATAAATAATAATAAGGAATATTTATTGTATTCGCTTGGAACCTAATAATACAATTTATTTTTCCACTCATATTGATATTTAAATAATTTAAATCTAAATTCTGAACATTTTCTAAATTTTCATTGCATATGAGTTTTCCCTTAACAGATATTGCAAGCAAAGTAATTTAAGTAAAAAAGAGGAACATTTCTGAAATCAGAAGACAGAAATTTGCTTCATGCAGCCATCCTTTAACAGCAAAAGCTTAACTAACCCGCATACTTGGAAATTGGCGAATATTTGGACAGTCGAGATTAACTTGAAAAGAGGAGCGGAAGGGGGGTAGACTGTAGCCGCTCTTTAGATTTTTCCGCTAAATAAATGCTTTTGACATTTTGATATGTGCATCATATAAAAATAAACCAATGGAACTGAAAAATATTCTGCTTAGCAAGCACAGTAAAACTCTTTTAAGTGTTCATAAACAAATCTCAGACAGAACATCAAAATGAATTATCGCAAACGTTATTGCGCAATACGTGCGCCGTAATTCTTCCCTACGTGATATTACGCAATCAGAATCAACGGCTGCCGGTATTGGGAGACTAAAGAACTAAATAACTGGGGTGTTTTTCATTCTAATTTTCAACAGGCGGCGTTAAATTTCCGGAATAGAATCATTCTTCACTTGGGTTGGTAGACCGCAGAACTTTTAGCCCTATTGCTTGTTTTGCAGCGAACTGTAACAGTTTCAATATTCGAGATTTTGCGGAGAAAGGGGAGAACCTCTCAATCTTCGTACTGTATAATGTATTGGCCAAAAAATTGAAATTATTTTGACTATTCGATTACTTTAACTTTATTTAACCCATTCCGAATATTATTCCTTAGAAAGCTAATCTGTGTTAAAACACAACCATTTTTGGAAGTTTACTATATTTCAGCAGTTACGGCAACTATGTTATTATAAACATTCATACATATGCTCATAATATAAGCATAATGATCATAATAAACATGAATATGAACTGACCAAGTGGAACGAGAATGCAAATTATTAAGATCTTGATAGAAATTCACGTGTGTAGTATTTGGGTGGGAGGAAAAGAATGCCGAATGTACCGGAATTTTTTACTGCTTTCGCAATTCTTTGACCAATAGAACGATTCTGTACTCCTCGTGCACACCAAAGGTTATGTTAATGCAGAGAAAGGGGGAAAAGCTATTTATGGGAGTATGATTCACCATCTGACATTCCATATTAGAAAGAAAAGTTGTTTATTTAGTTTCAGCTTTGGTACGGGGAAAAATAGCGCATTCATTAAAAAAAAAAAAAAAAAAAGCACTAAAAGCAAAAAATAAGCACTTAAAAAAAAAAAAAAAAAAAAAAAAGGGGGGGGGGGCTTTAAAGAAAAAGTAAGCACCTATAAGGGCCTTTATATTTTATTTTCAAATATAAGGACTTATAAGAACCGCTACGAACCCTGACAGATTTTTATATATGAACACTAGAAAATACATCTTTAGTAAAATTAGCAATTAAAAACACTTGTTATACTTCATAAACATATGATAAAAAGGTAATGAAATATTAAATTGATTTATAAATTATATACATGCCTTCATAATACAAGAGATTGTTTAGGAGCCTTGATTAGTCTACTGATTCCACAATTAGATAAAATTACATAAAAGTAATAAATTTAACTAAATTGAAAAATTGTAGGCACAATTTAGCATGGGTTTTTCTTACTGCTCACAATGATTTTATAAAGTGCATTTTAAAAATCATATAAATACCATATAAAGCAAATAGCAATTTTTCGATA